AACAAACCTAAATACTCTAACACAATTTGACAATAAGCATTGAACATCTGAGACAGAAACTGCTCCTCAGGCTGGCCCGCAAGTCAAGTTCTGGTGGCCTCTTTCCTCTTCGCGTTGGCGTCTTTTAACTATGTCCCAATCAGGAACTGACGAGGGACAGGTGTGGCAGACCTGATAGCAAAAGAGAGAGAGAGTGAGAGCGGGAAGATGCGCACAAGAATGCGCGGAAGAGAGAGAGTGCGTGCGAGAGCGCGCACGAGAGAGCAGAAGTACGCGTGAACGCGCACAGAAAAACAAACGAGAGCGAGAGAGAGAGAGAGAGCGCAAAAGAGTGCCTACAGGAGCGTGCACGTCCTAAATACGACCCTTTGTCTGGGTCGAGGATATATTGACGCAATGATGCTCCCTGCCTGAAGATGGCGTTTGCAGTACGACAGAGAAGATATCAAAGAACACATTGAAAAATCATGGATGTTGAGTGGTTTATACCGTTTAAAATGATTTGTGGCGAATCGTTCTTCGATTCGAAAACTTTTTCTTTGGCAGCACTTGTTCGATCAGATATGTGTGCTCTCGTTGACACCCATGGCTTGTGATCAAGGCGTGTTGCCGCACGAAACAGGGAGAGGCAGTGCATCTATATTTCCTCAAACCAAACGAAGAGCACCCTGCTGAGAAGAAATCTGATGATTCGCGCAAATCTCAATTCAGATCGGTGTGTTATCGACCGTCGACAAACAGGTTAAATCTCCTCTAAAACAGTTATTGAATTTACGATGCGATGCAATCAAAAATAACGCAAAAACAGAACACTTACATCACCAAAATGTTAAATCGGCTACATGTAGGACAAGAAAAAAGCACTTTATTTAAAATGAATAAAGTGTGTTTGTGTTAAAGGACTCTATAATAAGCATGGAGTAGCCATGTCTGTAGTTAACAAGGTTCTCTGTGAAACATGAAGTCTTTGGTGGTAATCTATGAAAACAGAAGATAAGCCCAGCGCACAGATCATGTAATAAAGCTCACATCAAACAGAAAACAGACGCTTGTCTGAACATCTCCACCCAAAACAGACCTGGCTCAATCAGAGCGACCACAGGAGACAGGTGGCTTTTTATCGTGCAGAAGACCCACATGGGGCTTTAGAAGACATGTACCTGGGTCTCTTCTTTAGAAGATTTAGTCGTCTTGCCAAATGTCACGCAGATCCTCCCTTGGACTTTTAATTTAGTCGTATTAGTTTGAAATCTGAGACAGATCGGTAGCTAATGTGTAAATGTCTGCAGTAAGTTTGCCATTTGCTTCAATGTTTAAACACAAATGATCAAAAGACAGAATGGACTGAGGCATGCTCGAATCGTTACAGGCATCTGGGAGGAAGGAAATTAAGCTGTAAATTGTTAAATATCAGTAAAGGTGAGCTCTTCTTTCCAGCATAATTACTGCTGCCAATCCAGTGTGATTTTATAATTCCAAAATCCTGACACTTCACAAAGACACTGTAATTGCCTTGTGCTGGCCTTTCGCTCACAGCAAAGGTCCATTAATTAAGTTTTTTTCTGTCCTGAAACGTATTTTAGCTAATGAAACCCAGCTCATGGGGAGATGTGGAATTTTTCATGAAAACACAAAAACGTCCAGTCTTAGCAGAGGAGTGCTGCTGCAGGCTATAGCCGACACACCACCTCATGATTTGGTGTTAAATACAATTTGGACATGTAAGAAAACACAAGGTATTCAAAGAAAGAATCCTTACTTCACACAAACGCTTCTAACTCACTTCAACTGCCCTTTCTTCTTCGAGTCAATCAAAATAATTGAATTTCATTAAACAACACTCATGTTTTCATTGGGTACGTTGTTTTGATTGGTCTTGGTTGAGCATTGAAAACTGTTCAAATTCATTCCATGTTTGAAAGACTAATGTTGAAAAACACTACATGAAATTTTGTTAAGACTATAGCCAACTAAAATGTGTATTTAAATGCCTGTAAAGTGGTAAACAGATACCATTGAGCATTAATTCATTTTCCGTTAGACTTACATTTCTTATCTCACTTCTCTTCCAGAGGTGATTGAGGGGCTGTTGTTTTATGGATTATATTGTTTTATGACATTTTTGCACAGACACTGGAAAACATCAGTTAGTCCATGAACCTTCCCAAAACTGCTAAAGTTGCAACTACTTTTTCTCCTGCTGGTGATTTATAACTCTTGTGTGCATATCGCCACCTACTGCACAGGAGTGTGTGAAGTGACAAGCTACACCACAGGTGTCGGAATCCTTTCCTGGAGGGCCGGAGCCCTGCAGAGTTTACTTCCAACCCTGCCTACAGAACCCCACACCTGAAGCTTTCAGACAGCCTGAAGGACCTAATGAGCTGCATCAGGTGAGTTTAGTTGAGGTTGGAGCTAAACTGTGCAGGGCTGTGGCCCTCCAGGAACTGAGTTTGACACCCCTGAGCTACACTGTAGATCCTGCTACACTATAAAATAAAAATAAATGTTGTGCCACAAAAAATGAGAGAAAAAAGCTATTAGAATTTTTGTGGTTCATTGCAGTTTTCCCTCTTTCTTCGTTTCATAGTTAGCGAACCAGTTCAGAATCGTAACCAAGAGCCAAGTTGAGGGACTGCGTACTACACTAGCTGCCCAAGACAAGGAGTCTGGGACCGGGAGTGATCCGCACACCTGTAAAAATAATCTTTAAAAAAAAAAAAACTATTTGAGAGGGAATTTCTCATTTCTATCCTAATTCAACAATTGTTACTTCATGTAAAAAAAAAATCTCCAGACGTGAAATATTCTTAAAAGTGATTTCCGACTGAAGAGAACTAAAACAGATAGAACATAGAGGTGGGCCAGCTTGACATATCTAAACATTGACATATCTGTGGCAGGAACACACTTATGATATGATAGAAAGTGACGATTCATAATTGTATTGAGGGATAGATGATTGGCTAGTCCTTTAAAGCCCCTCCCGCACTTTGTTATATAACCACCATTGTTAACAAAACATATATATTCTATTCAACTGAAGTACTATATGTTGCAAGTGTACAGTGGTAAACATTATATGTGATGCATTTTAATTAAATATATGGTATCACAATATCTGCAGCAGTTTCATTGTGCTCCAGCTGTTAACAATGATCACCAGATATCACTCCATCTCACGTAAAAGACAAAATGAAGTTTTTTTTGTTTAGTTTTTTTATGACCAGCCCTCTGGGGTCTCAGGGGGGTTTACTATTGACTAAACAAATAGTAACACAAAAAAACTTTAGAACACAAAAATATAAAAGATTTGTGACATTTACATTATTTTATCTGCATCAGTGTAATGTAAAACACTGTAAATGTAACATAAGTTAGCAAAATAGTCGAATTTATCTGAATCTGTAACCGAATGCAGGGATGAAACACATAATGAACAGAGTAAACAAAGACTGTTAAAAGACGAGGGCTGTTTGTTCACACTATTTGCTTCGAAACACTTCCAAAGACAGTTTAACGGGGCAAACCCAGAAAAATAAAAAATGTGAAAAATCAAAAACCCTGTAAAACCCTGAAGCTCAAGAGTTAAAAACGGCATCAGTGTTTCGAAAGAATTTCATTCATGAGCTGAAACAACTGGGCTTTAAGAGGAGACATGCCCATGAATTTTTGCCGTACATTTTACCATTTTCATGTGCTTCATATAAAGCTGTGCGATGTATAAATATCAGAGAATTAAGTGAGTGCAGAGCCAGGAAGTGCAATGAAATGAAGGAAGAAAAGGAAGGGTTGAAATGGCATCCTCTCTCAAATTTAATGAAACAGCATCCTTTAATTTTTTAAGTAATTATAATAAAGATGGAAAAACATAATAAAGGCCTCCCAGCCCCCACCTGCTAACAGTAATTATAATAGACTCAACAATAAATGGTAAAGCAGCACAGAGCTGCATCTTGGGAATTCTCTGGGGTCTGTGGATTAGCTTGAAAAGCCTGAATGATTAAAATACACTAATTAAAATTTTGTGTTCCTTGGTAACTCGTCTTCTTGGGCCCCTCACACTGGTAAAATGGGAATAAATGTGACAAAAGCAAATACTGCTTCAGACTGCAGTAAGTAAACAAGCGTAATCCAGATTTCACAGAGGTGTATCCATTGCATTTTTCACAAAGAATGGGTTTCTACAACCTCCGTTTCTCAAAGTAAGCTCCAACAGGAGTGAAATATCCTGGGTTTTACCCTTTCACTGGATGAATAAATGTCAAAGCTTTATGGAGCTTAAATATTTCAGTCCTCATTTACTTTTGTTAGATGGAAAAGAGCAGCTTGGACAATCAGCAACACAGTAGTAATCTACCAAGAAATCAGATAATAAACACATACCACGAGCATTTCAATCTACTTTAATGACCAAAAAAATCCAACCTATGCAGGAAATACCGAAACACAATGAATTCTACATTGCTCAGCTCATTATTCTACTGTAAAAACGTATCAGAAAAATGTTATTTTTTCATACATTTGTTAACCAATCTCATCCTGGGTTTTTTTAAATAGCCAAGTTCACAGTTTTGGGGAAGAATTGAGCAATACACTTTTTAATATACAAAGTTTTTGCCCCCTTTATTTTAACATTTTTTAATTGCAAAGCATTATTGTTTTCTCTGAAGAGGTAATGTTGGTAATTTATCACGTTTATCATCAGTTGGTTACATATGTAAAACGTTATGAGAGATTATTTGCCTGAAGTTGTGAGAGCCTTTGGATTTATTTTGTTTTTAGTGAAAGAAGTGACGTTACGACCAAGTATGGAGTGACCCATACAAGGAATTTGTGCTCTGCATTTAACCCATCCAAGTGCACACACACAGCAGTGAATAAACACACCGTGAACACACACCGGGAGCAGTGGGCAGCCATGGCTGCGGCGGGAGCTGTGGGTAACTGGTGACTTGCTCAAGGTCACCACAGTCATGGTTGTCTCAGAAGGGAGAGAGTGTCAACACTCGAACCAGCGACCTTTAGATCTACAGTCTAACGCTCTCCCAACTGAGCTATTTCGGCCATTGATATAACCAATAAATAACGTGGTTGATAATAACCAATGACGTGGTTATTTCAAATTCCTTCCCCTCCATTCCCACAAGAGTGACGTGTCTAAAACAAGCCCATAATAACTGTGGCGAGTAGAGCTAAGCCAAACCGAGCCAAGTCGTGGCGTTGCTTATATTTGGTGAAAAGGCTGCTTTAGTTTATGAATAGTCACTTGCTGTTCCGGCACACCAAAGAAAGCTCTACAAAGAGATGTTTCATCAAGTTTAGTAAGAACTTCACAACTCAATGTTGCAGAACACCTTTTGGTAATGCACCCAGGGTCTGTCTGATCCTTTCCATCCCTTTATCACTATTGTAGGGATGGGAAGTTCACATGCAGTTTAGCAAAAACTCTTAAATCAAGAAGTAGCAGTTGTTTTCTGTAATTTTATGCAAACGCCATCAAATCTGTGCTAAATATCTGAGTATGGAGAACATGTCAGTCCTAAAGAACAACAGCCACTGATCAAAGGGCCAAAGGAAGCAGTAGCAATTACGCTGCAGCTCACGAGAAGGGATCTCGTCGGCTTGCTTGTGTCTCAGTCCTCAACTTCAGTGGTGAAGCTAAAGTATGAGATTGGACAAGCTGGAAATCTAATGTGTCACCGGTGTGGTGAGGAACAAGCTTTTAAAGGAGCCACGTTTTTGGAGGGGGTCCTGGGAGGACTGCGTCTCTTTGCTTCCGCAATGTGCTGTCTCTGTGAATGATGGTAATCGCTTGTTTGCTGTCAGCGGGAACAATGGGGCAGGAAGATGTCTTTAACACACCCTCACAGACCCAGTTCACTTTGAGACACATTTACAGCAAGTCAATCCCTTGGTAAAATCACATGGAATCAAACAGAACAGAAATATCAAGGCTGTTAAGTACATGGTGGGGTTACTCCTGACAGCTGAGCGCGATGCTTCGGGAGATTTAGAGACAGGGGAAATGGAGTTTGAGGGGAGATATATGTTTGGGAGTAAGATGAACAAACTTTTAGATGAGATTTGCTATGAACTGATGTGTAAACACACACAAAAAAACTGCATGAATTAATAAAACAAATCAATAACTACATGCTTAAATAAATACAAATATGATGAAAAAAAAAACAAACGACTATATTTATAAACAAATACATATTTGGATATATGAATGATAAATAAAAATACAAACCAAAAACAACTACATTTATGAACAAACACATTTGGATATGAAAATGCATAAAATACATTTTCAAATTCAATTATTTTATTTCTATATTTCATCCTTATTTTTTCCTCTTCCATTTATTTTTTTATTTACACATTCATATGTTAATTATGTGGGCGGTCTAAAAGCAGTCTAAGCCTAAGTGTACATTAAATCTGATATATAGTAGCAATATAAAATGTATTATTTTGATGAGCCTGAGCTCCTTTTGTCTGCAAGGAGGAAGAGTAAGCCCCAAGAGGAGAAGTTCAAGTTACCAGCGGAAGATCTCCTGCCTCTCACCAAGGAGAAATACTTCTGAACTGTCTGTAAAGCAACTTTCCTTGCAGCACAAGGTGAGCTCATCTTTGGTACATTTGTAATATTAAACATTGCACTGAAATATTGTTCTTTGAATCAGTAAACGGCTTGAATGGAATTTTGAAAATAGTGCAAGTAACATGTAGCTTTTTTAATAGAATTGGGCTTTATCATAGTAGATTATGTGCAAGTTTCAGACAATCTTGTATGTCGCTTTTAATTTTGATTGTATTTTATTTTAGTGTCATGGATTTACAGCATTTTGTGGAAGAAATATTTTAAGTACAATATATATATTAAACAATTTCACATTTACAGATAGCGTTGGAACCAAACTCTTAAAATAATAGACAAAAATCCAGGAAACTTACTATTGTCATTTAAAAAAATAAAATTAAAACCCTTCTCTGCCAAATTAGGAGAGGTCTGCGGGTTTCCGGCTCCAGAAATGAGTGCGCTTAAGAGACAGGCCTGACTGGCACTGATCAGCAGAAGAGCCCTGGTGGCATCTGTCCTCACAGCAAATTACACCCACTTCATTAGTAAATTCCAGCCAGGAACAAAAGGATGAGGGTGGAGAAGAGATATCAAGCTGATGTACAGCACACACAGACTAGAGAGACCCGCGCACGTTCATCAAACCAATTGCCTCACGTGGTGAAAAAGAGACACAACCTGAAGGAATAAACATGAAGATGTAAAGCCAATGCATTATAGATGCAGCATCTGTGCGAGAGCAGGGTGAAAACTGCAGTTTTGTTGTACCACGCGCAAGAACATGAGCATGCTCCTTGTTCTCCATGACCCTCAGTTATAAAATTTCAGCCTCGTTGCAAAAAAACAAAAGAAAATGAACACTTTTGGGTTGCCCCGGTAACCTAATTGCATCAGTACATTGCACAGAGGAGCCAAAGTAACTGAATTCTGATGAAAAGGCGGCGATAATTTATGGCATTGAGAAATTAGTTGCCGTGGCGACGCGTTAATTACATCTCAAATTAACAATGCAAGTGTAGTGAAATTAAATATAAATCATATTTTTTGCATAAATTACAGGGGTTGATTAGTGTGAGGTGCCAGGAGAGAGGGAGAGGTTGGGATTCCACGGGTCTGTCTCCATATACCCCCCCCCCCATCCCCATCTTCTTCTACCACTCTCAAAAAGAAACTGCCACAAGCTTTTTCTTTACACACCGATGTTTGCATGCGTTTTCTAATTAGCATTCTTGATCTTTTCCACATTGATGAACTTCTTTATTTCAATCTCTTTAAGAAACACTGCTTTGTTTCTTATTTTTCCCCTTGTGTTAATGATGCTGATGAACATTATTATATATTAAAACATATTCATCACGTGCAATAAATGATCTGAGATCACTAATGAAAACACTTCAGTTGAGTCTTTTTTTTCTCTTTACTGCTCTTTTTTTTACACACTTTGTTGTGGAAATGTGTCTACGGTTTGTGATCTCTGAAGTATTGAGAATTATTGCAGGGTGGCATATGCAAGACAAAAAAATAAAACAAATGAACCCAGACGCCAGAGTCGACATAATTCCATGCAGTTTTGAGGATCACAAAGATGCTTCCGGAATTTCGTAGAGAGAAAAAGAGAACAAACACAACAGCAACAGGAACCAACTTGAGCCGTCTAAATTATTCATCATCCAGATGGATTCCTTTCTCCTTGAATTTTCTACTCAAACAGACCCAATCACCTACAATTTTCATAGCCGCAGTGTCACACAAACCACAAAACAACACACACATGTGTCAAAACCACAGTCTTCTCCATTCTTTCCGGAGTTTCTGACTTCTTTCTTTCTCTCTGTTCATAGTGCCGCAGGGGAGTGACATTGGGGGGAGGAATTGGAGACTTTATCCCATGAGACTTTAAATATCAGCCATTTAGCTGCTAAAATGTCACCAGTTTCTCTCAAGGAAAATATGAGCTTTTTTCCCACTGGCAAATATCATTGAATTTATTTGTATCAAATATGAAATAAGTTATAGAAATTACTTTTTACTAATGCATTTCTCTTTTTTTTCAGTTCGGATGCGGTTACTTACTGCATTCTGTTTCCTTTTTGCACTGATATATAAATTTAACAGCGTCAATCAGATCATGTAAGGTCCCAATCTTACAGGTGTAAAAAATTGAATTTAGAGTGCTCAATTGGCATCTCGAAGTGCTAAAAAACAACACTTAGGGCATAGGGTGTTATACTTCTCCATCACCAAACAAAATGGCACCGTCTCTCGTAATGGTTTTTGGCAGACCTTTATTTTGCACTTTCAGGTGTAAATGTAAAACCATATAATTTTATCCCTCTAATCTACACTGGCAAAGTGTACTTTTTAACACTTGGTTTTGTTAATCCAACACTTTGGGAGTCAATTAAATTTTACACCTGGGACCATATATGATCTGAGCGGTGTTGGATTCACACTGCTGTGTGCAGCATCAGGACAGGAAAGAAAGAACGCTTTTCTTCATAATTAGTAACATTAGTTATTAAAATTAGTTTAAAAAAGCACATGGAATTTGGCTTTTTTATATTTGTATCAATATCGATGCATATCTGCCTGTATTTCTTACTTTTATACCAACTGTTCCCTGCAGACACTCATTATTGTATCACACGCCAAAATCTGCAACTTCTACATATTTCATATATTGACTCCAGAGCACTTGCTGCCATTTTTCTGTACCCCCGTTCAAATGCATATATATATCTGCTGCACACGTTTCCTTGGTCGTGTTCCCAGTTTTCTTTGTGCTTCTTCAAACGAGCTCAAACGGCACATTTTGAAACCCCAAACTGCTTTGAGATGTTGTTGATGCAGTATAACTACGTTGTGTCTTGTTGCTTTGCTTAATTTCGTCATGACAAGTCTTCCTCAAATAGATTTAAGAATTTAGCTGTACCACACTTTTAAGCCGCCTACACGGCTGTTTCTGTGTCAGTTCATGACTGGGTGTAAAACCTGTTTGTTATAGCGGTTATATATAGAATCAAAACCCATGACTTTGTGCAAGTTTACCTATAAGAACTGGTGCTAGTTTAAAGGCAAAAGGGAGTAACATCAAATATTGATTCGTTTATATTTTTGAATATGATCACTCACAGATAAACAATATTTACATTTATGGAAGCATTCTTTTTTTTGCAGCATTTTTTCACACCCGAGCAAAACTTTTGCACGGTACCGTATATTAATATTCGTATCAAGTTTTCAATAATAATTAAGGAATTGGTGATTGTTAAGAAAATCTGAATAAATCAAGTTTTCGTCACTTATTGTGTCATTTACTGAAACACTGTTTGCAAAACTCCCAAGCCGTAATAAAGTACTTTTGGAAGTGACCAGAGCAGGATTATGATTCTTTGGGATGCTCCCATGAAAAAGATTTTGTCAGACTGCATTATGAAACATTTCCATCTAAATCTGCTTACACAACACTGCACAGGGC